ATTGGCCAAGTGGCAGCATCGATGGACTCAAGCGTGGCAACAGTAGTGAGGTTGGCCCAGGATCGGGCAGTGTTTTTTTCTGCTGTGCATAAGGTCGCCATGGGTCGGTACCGATTCGATGGCACCTAACAACAACAGCAATCAGTGGGTGGCTGCAGGGAAATTTTCTCAGTAATACACTTGTCTTAGGTTTTGAGTGCCTTAAGTGTCTAATCAAAGCAATGGTCTTCCAAGGGTATCTTCGGGACCAAGCCAATTACAAGCAGAGGTCAGCTCAGTAGGTTATGGCAAATGTGTTTTGGACTTCAAAGGGGTAATGCTTGGTAAGATTTTCTTGAGGGACACAGGACGTCATGAGGGCTTATTATACAGAAGTTTAAGTTAACTGAAAATTGCATTGGCAAGTCAAATGGCTAAGTTGCACTGAGGGATTTTTTTTTTTTTTTTTTTCAATCCCAACAATGCACCTACCCATTCTTTAAGGGTTGTCTTCATGAATTTTCTTGTGAAACTTTACCTAATCCACCCTACAGCCCTGATCTTACCCCTTCTGATTTCTTTTTGTTCCCTCAGTTCAAAGAACATTGAAAAGGAATCCCATTTGAGTCCTTCCAGGATGCCAACAGCAGTGTTTTGATGTGGTGTAAATTGAAGAGCACAGAATTCTTCAGGGAAGGATTAGCGATGGAAACACTGCTTTCAGATGTGCCCAGATCAAAATGGAGGCAATATCAAGAAACAGTTATCTCTTCATTTTGGTTTTATAAAAGTTTCTATAATTTTGTAATGATATTTTTTTACTTAGCCTTGTATGTATTTTAGTACTTAAAGAATTAGGTGACAGAATTTAAAGACAAGAGTGGTATCATGAATGATAGACTCATCCCTCCAATTTTTCACAGATTGGAATCAGTCCCATCAGTTATCACTAGACCTAAGGCTACCATTCATGCCTTCTGGGCCCCAGTCCCACACTCTTTCCAATCCTAAAGGTTAAGAATTATTGTTGTTCTTCCTGTTAAGTACCATTGATTTGGTTTCAACTCATTACAACCCTTTATGGAGTTTCTGAGGAGTGGCTGGTGAGTTTGAATCACTGACCTTGCAACTCATATTGACCTTGAGGTCCAAACCAACCATGTTTATATCCTACAGCACCACACCAGGACTACAAAGGTTAAGATAAATAATTGCCTTTTACCTGGTATTTTAAATTTATAACCGGCTTCTGCTTGCAACCAGTCTACAACCTCATAGTCACCACCCAGTCACATTCTCTTATGTAGTCTGTCCATTAGTTGAGTTGTAACAGCTTCCCACTTTTCTCACTTCCAGACTGCTTACCTGGTTCTAGACTCCCAGCTCCCTTAGTAGGACCTCCTTGAATGGTTTGGATTTTGTAACCTGCACTTACAGCTTTGTCCCAACCCTCCCAGTATACATTCTTTGCACTGTCATCTGATACGCTGCTGCCTACAAACATCAAAATCCACTCTGCTCTATCCATGGAGTTGAAGGGAAGGTTTTTGATGTACTTAGTCAAGTTCACTTGATTCGTGGTTTCCCCAGATGCTGGATGTTTTCCATTGTGACTTTGAACATGAATAAGATAAATTGGGATAAGGCTCGATTTACCTTCTTCTCGTTATCTGCAGAGTTAAAACAGAAATAGCCTTCATGCCTACAAGAGAGTTACTCAATCATTCATATGTCTCATCTAAAAATAAAAGCCAAATACACACTTCTTAGTTTTTTGTATATATTTACAATATAAATACTAATTTGTTTTCAAAGTACATATTCTTTTAACAATTTGAGAAAGCTATCTAGCATGGGACAGCAATTTAATGTAAAGTCTATAGTAGTGATTAAGGAAAAATAGAACTGCTTTTGGGATAAGGGACCCTAGAGGGCATTTGAATGGGCATGATGATATGAGTCTGCAAGGGGAGATGTGATGCAGCTTAGTCCTCACTGCCCTGCCAGTACAGCATGCTGAAGGACTAGGATGTGAGGCAGCAACCTGGATGGGGTCTCATAAAAATGAAACTTCATAAAAATGAAGGGACACATGCTTGCATAGTGCGTTAATCTTAAAGAAGCTGAACATTTCATCCTCATTTTCAAATAACTTAAATGAATAGTACTTAAAACACATCACACAAAATTAAAGACTTGTGCATATATTTCAGATTTCAATGTTAACGTCAAAAATACATAGTATGATTTTACATAGGGTTTGTGCTACATTAGAACACTAGAGACAAACATCACTTGAGTATTAAGGGAAACATTAAATATTAAATAACTGAGAAATAAAATGTGTAAACACTAATCTAACTGGGGGTTTTGCTATGGCAACATGTCCAATGAAGTGGTTTCAACAGTACAAAAAGGATTAGGACATGAGTGTTTCCAGTCTACTTGGAATATGTGGATTTCAACTCAGAAATCCTTTAATAAAAACTGGTCCAGGACAACAGGAGAGGATCCGCTCTCTTGGATGGTAATTTGGTACACTCCGTTCTAAGCTAATTTTTACTTTCAAACTTGGGTACTGAGCAAACACTTTAAATTGTCACTCCTTATTAACATCTTGGTGAAAATTGAGGGTTTGTTGGCGATTCAGTATAAGATTTGAGTTCATATGCAGCACCGCTATCAACTTCCATTGACTTTCTAGAGAACAGGAGTCGTACATCTCGATGGAGGTAGATCTTCCCAGATTTAGAACTCTGGAACCTAAAGAAGCAGAAAAAGATGCATCATCTCAGGAGAATGAGTTTTTAAAATAAACAGAAAACCTGAATAATTTTGAAAACACAAAGTATCAGTCTTGCTACAAAATAAGGTTAACACTGTTGTTGTTGTTAAGTGCCATCGAGTCAGTTTTGACTCAGACTATAAAGAAGGTATCCAAGGAGTCGCTGGTGGGCCACCCCAGGATGCTTCAATATTCTATTTAAGGTGTTATAATGCCAAATCGTATGTTTCTATTTAAGTGGCTCTCCCATTCCGTATTCTCTTCTTCTGTTTTTTTCCAGTGCCTGAGATGTGTCCTGCTGTAAATCTGGGTGTCCAATGCAAGGGACTGGCATCTGAATCACATAAACTTGCCTGGCAAACACAACCTGTAGTGCTAATTCTTTTTGATCGTTCCCTTGGCATAGCAGAAATACACTCTGTCATGAAATGAGATCCTTTATTTAAGCTTTAAAGAGACTTGGTGCAGTGACTAAGTGTTCAGCAGCTAACTGAAAGGTTGGTGGTTTGAACCTACTAAGTCCTCTACCAAAGATGTGGCAGTTTGCTTCCCTAAAGACCTAGAGCCTTGGGATCGCTATGGGACAGTTCTATTCTTCTATATAGGATCATTATGAGTCACAATCAATTTGGCAGTAATAGTTGTGTTTTTTTTTGGCGGGGGATGGGGAGGGTTACGTGGCCTTTTGTCTTGGTTCTGTGGAAGAGGAGCTTGATTTAACCATAGGAGTTTACTTTCGCCCTAGTTTTCTATCCCAGAGGATTTGTTTCTTTTTTGTTCAGGCTGACTGACATTTCCTGGGTAAGAACCTTGTTATTTGATATGGTGTTGTCTGGTTTAGGGCTGCAGCCTACCCTATATGCTAGGTATGCTTCTTGCAGGGATTGGTCAGTAAAATATGCAAATGAGGTGACTATACCTTAATATGCAAATGAAGTGTCTGAGTCCCACCAAGAGGGGATTGGTCAGTTTGTGGCCTCATTGAGATGGGTCATGCCTTGACACTAAAAAGGAGTTGTGCATATATGCAGCCAACCTCATAGAGGTTTGTCTTAGAGAGAAAAGCAGGACAGTATGAAGCAGAAGGAAGTAGTGAGAAAAGTCACAGAAAGAGAGGAAAACAAGGAACCTCCTAAAACTGTAACACAGGTCATGGACCGTAACACTGAAGACAGTTTAAGGCCCAGAAGAGGCCCTCTGACAGAGTCAATAGTGACAGATGGCAGGGCCAAGAGGAGTCTCTCCTTAAGGGGACCGAAAGAAGGCCTGCATAGATGAGGAATTGAGAGCTACTCTTTACTAAAAAATGGGGTATTTGCCTTATATGCTTCTTGATCCAGATCCTGAGTTGTAGCCTGTTACTTCCTTAATAAGCCACTTAACTGTAAGCATGGTCTGTGAGTTCTGGGTGATCATTCCAATGGATTATCAAGCCCAGAGGAGAAGTAGAAAGTGTTGTCAGAATTGGTAAAATGGTTGGAAGTTGGAGGTATGGCTGACCTCCACTTCATGGGAACCAGCTTGGGCTAATTTTGGTTGTTATTCTTATTTAAGGTTTAACACATTGCTACTATTCAGTAATTTTCACATTCCGCTTGTGGATTTTATTCTTAAACAAGCTATGGTGATCGGTGGTATAAATGAAAGGATTCCCTCTTCTCTCTGAAGTTTTTCACTTTCCCAATTTGAAGAATATAGTGAGTTTGGGGAAGTCTACCTTCCCAAGGAGGTTTCTTTGAAGCATTTAAAGGATTTAGTCTTTGTGTAGGGGTTATAAAAGCTAAGAGTAGTTATTTTTTTACTTTGGCAAATGTTGTTTACTTCTGGCTAAGGTTGGTAAGGACTAAGTGATTAAAGCACTTGAATGCTAACCTAAAGGTTGACAGTTTGAGTCCATCAGCTACTCCTTACGTGAAAGATGTGATCGTCAGCTTCCATGAAGATTTACAGCCTTGGAGACCCCAGGGGTCAGGTCCACTCTGCCTTGTAGGGTCACTAAGAGTCGGAATCAACTCCCTCAGTGGCAATGGCTTTGGTTTTTGGTCTTAATGATATTTTACACTAAAATGATTTTTTAAGGGAATGCAGTGGCTCCACAGGTAAGTACTGAACTATGAACTATGCTTACAGTCCACTGCTGCTCTGCAAGAGAAAGAATGAGGCTTTCTGCTCTCACAAAAGATTAAAAGCCTTGGAAACTCTATGTAGGATCTCTATGTAGGATCAAATATGACTCCACGGCACTCAGCAAAACCAATGATTTTTTAAAAAGTGCACTTGGGGTGCAATGGTTTAGCGTTCAGCTGTACTTCAAACTCCCCAGCAGCTGTTGGGAGCAAGACCTGAGAGTGGTTGCCATGATGATGGCAACCTAGTAGCCTGTGGGGGCACTTTTACTGTGTCATATAGGGGTGCTAGGAGTCAAGAGTCAACCCAATGGCACATAAACAACAACATTCTTTTTTAAGATCTTCCAGGCCAGTTATCATTACTTAATATTTTGACCAGAGATTCAACGGAAGAATTCTAATCAAAAGGGGGGAAATGCAAAACAAGTTCAAATTCTCATAGAATTCAGATTTTCTAGAGCTTTGGAGCAGCATGAATCCATGAAACTACTTCCCTGGGTTAATCTTTACACCTTAAACCAAAAACATCTGAAGTCTTCATAAAACCAAATAATAATTTAGCTAACCTAGCAAGCCTTGGGCACTGTGCTCCTTTTAAGATCTATCTATATGGGATCAAACTGGCAACAGCAACTCCAAGTTTACATGGGAAACTCAGGGGGCAGTGTGTGTGTGTGTGTGTGTATGTGTGTGCTGATGAGGGGGTGAACAATTTGGAAGAGAAGGGTGAGAATGGTTGTACAACTCAAAGAATGTGATCACCATCACTGGAATGTACACGTAGAAACTGTGGAATTGGTGTACATTCTGTTCTGTATGATCACAACAACAAAAGAAGTAATTAAAAGAAAAAAATTATCCTCCAGGTGTGTTTTAGTAATTTCTCATTCCTATATTCTGTATAATAAACCACTTAACTGTAGTTCTGCGTGCAAAGCCCATGTCAGGCAGTGTCCAGTTGGGTTTAAATACATTATGCTAGTTTAACATGTCCTTCAGGGAGAAAATTCAAAGACGAAAGTACCAATTAAACTGTTCTTTGGGAAAAAACACTGTAACTTATAAGACTTGAAAGCCCAGGACTTGAGAGTATAGCTCCTTGTTCACTCTAGACCACCACTGTACGGTAGATCTATTGAAAGGTGGTCAACACCGAAAACATATTAAAGAGCCCCCTACCGTCTGCGTCCTGGAAGAAAGGTGCATCCTCCTGATAAATAGGGCTCCTATGGTAAGGGAGGTAAAGGAGCTCTGGTAGCGTAGTGGTTACAAATTGGGCTGCTAACCTCACGGTCCGCAGTTCAAAACTACCAGCTGTTCTGCGGGAGAAAGATGAGGCTTTCTGCTCTCATAAAGACTTACAGCCTCGGAAACTCTATACAGGCTCACTATGAGTCAGATCCGACTCCACGGCACATCACCACCACAACAACAAATGGTAAGGGGATACCCGTAGACGACTTACTATTGTTGAAACGACTGAGAACTTACTGTGAGTACCAGGAACTCTAAACCAACAGACTTACATCGATCATGGGAGTCACATAGAGTCCTCAAGAGCAAGCAAATGGCCTCTCACAGCCTAGAGCTGTAAGCTGGCTTAGTAAAAGAAAAAAGGTATTTCTGACAGAACCATAGAATCAAAGCTCTATGAGAAGAGAGGGTTTGTCACTGTTCTTTCCTTTGTTGTTCATAAGTGCCACTGAGTTGGTTCTGACCTATAGCGACCCTGTAATAGGGTTTCCGAGGAGCAGCTGGTGAGCTTGAACTGCCAACCCTGGGGTTCAAAGCGACTTTGCAGTCCACAGCATTAACCGGCAGTGCCACACCAGAACTCCACATAAATATTTGTTGAACAAGTGAACGAATGGATGAAACTAAGAGAGAATAAGAACTTTCTTGTCTGATACAGCAGCCACTAGCCAGTGAACATCTGAAACGTAGCTACTTTAAAGTGAGATGTGCTGCAAATATAAAATACATACTTGATTTTGAGGATTTATTTTAAAAAGAGAACCTAGAAGATTTCCATTTTTATTTAATTCTATGTTGAAATGGTACCATTTGGATACAGCGGGTTAAGTATGTTGAATCAATACCATCTGTTCTTTTAAAATGATACTACGTAACTGACAAGGTCAGTGTGGATGGAACCCACCCAGAGGCCCCTGGGAGAAACTGCCTGACAACCTGCTCCGATAAAGATGACACTGTGGAAAGCCTGATGGGGCAGTTCTACTCTGTCATATTGGCTTGCTGTGAGTTGCAAAGTGACTTGACAATCCCTAACAGCAACAGCTGCTGTTCGTTCTTAAGTGCCGCCGAGTCGGTTCTGACTTAGAGTAAGTCTATACAGGGTTTCTCAGGAGTGGCTGGGGAGTTTGAATTGTTGACCTTGTGGTTCAAACTGACTTTGCAGTTCAGCGCATTATCCTGCAGCACCACACCAGGACTCCAACCGCAACAATAAAAACACGGAAAAAGAGAGAACGACATCCATGGCTTATCAAGAGAAAGATGAGGTGTTCTGCTCCCATCAAGATTTTAAAAAAAGCCTCAGAAATCCCGTAAAGGGTTGCTATGAGTTGGAACTGACTTGCTGGCATTTTACAATAACAACGCCATTTCTATTGGGCAACATTGGATTCAGAAACATGTTTCACACCAGCCCAAATATATTAGCATCTGCATATAAGCACTGGTTTTGGTAAAAAACAAAGTTTTACATTTCACACCTAAAAGTAAAATTTCCCCTAATTCTTCAAGTCCTAACACCTGCAGCAGGATGACATGCCATGCGCTTTCTACATCTTGGCACTTCATAAAGGACTCCTAAGCTAAGCCCAATAGGCATGAGTCTAGCTATATATGTTGTTATTGTTAAGTGCCATCGAGTCGGTTCAGACTCATAGTGACCTTGTATAGGGTTTCTGAGGAGAAGCTGGTGGGATTGAACTGCTGACTTTGTGGTTCATAGTACAGTGCTGATCTGACAGCGCCACACCAGGAGTCCAGCGAAGAGTATAGATTTTCAAAATAAATGAAACATTTTAGTATAATTCTTCTAAAGTAACAGATTTTCACATTAATTTGAAACATTACCTCAGATGTATGAGGTAGCGTAGTAACCGTTCTTCAGCATGTCGGATGTTCTCTTTATTAACACTTCTCTTCATTTCTTGTTTAACAGGTACAGAAAAAGTTCTTTGTCGTAGGAATGTCTGATGATTGGCTGGCATATCTCGTAAATCATATATCACAACAAACATCTTCACCACAGTCTTATTAGGATTAAATAAGGTCTGAAGAAATAATACAGAATTTTTTTTCTTAAAAAACAGTCATTTTTTAATATGGCTCAAAATGATCGTGCCAATTATATAACACACTTTTAAAATAGGTACTAAAGTTAATAAAATTCCATAAGTTTACATAATATATTAAAACTTTAATGAAGATCAATTTAATTATTTCTTCCACAATAATATGAAATCCTGTTTACAAATCAAAATCTTTAGTCACACATTTCATGTGACAGACAATATCTTTTACTTCTTGTTCGGCTCACAGTGAAACTATTAAGAAATAGTTCCATTAACTTAAGCAAGACACATTCGTAATGAATTTAAACACTCCAGTTCAATTATTGCAGTCATTTGTTTCATTAAAGTGTATCAACTACAGAGATCTAACATAGTTTAATTTTTCCACAATTTAATTGTGAGTTAATAGAATTTTTTTTTTTTTTTTAACTGAAAAGAAGACTAGTACAACTAGAGTTTTTGGTGTTTTGGGTACACAAAAAGTAATTTTTGAAAGTTTTTCCAAAGTTGGAAATTGAAATTCTATTATTAGATACAAAGTGGCTAAATAATATTTCATATTCTCACATCTGGATTTATTTCAAAACTTGCAGCGATACTACGCTTTTAAAAATCATTATTAGCATAATGAACAAAAATATTTATCCTTAGTGATGACTGAATTGGATTCAATTGGTAGTTGGATATGAATAATCAAATAAGTATTAAAAGCACTAATTTTACAACAAAACCCCAAAGTGCTAATCTGACTTTAACCAAATTACCAACACATCAATAGGTAACTTGGTGCCCATGCTTTCAGAAGCTCATCCGTGGCACTGGACATCACTCACTGAATCAAAATGAGAAATATATCAATATTATGATCCAATTTTTGAAGTCTAGTGAGTCTTAAGATTAAGGCTAATACACATTCAACAACCACAACTAGAGTAAATGAGGAGTTAAAGCAGTGTTTGTACATAAACTATGTAAGGAATGAAAGACCAACCCAAATTTCAGATTGCATATTAAGTACTAATGTTGGCAGTCCTCAGACATGAGGTGAACGCACTGCACTGCCTCTGGATTTTATGAAAACCGACGGCTAGATTTTCCAGTGACCCACACGTTCTCATGAGCCACACAGTCAGGGGCAAGAGCATAGAAGATTATCACTCTCACAGTTTAAAATAATCCACTTAACATAAAAATCATGTTAATATACAGTGATTCCTCAGTAAAATCTGTATATACAAGTTACTTCGATATAATACATGCATCTACTGCATAGTACTGTCTCATTCCTGTGTGATATGAAATTAACGTACAGATTCTTTGCAGTATTAAAACAAGGGTGATGAGTAAAAGTGATGTGTCAAGGCACTGAACACACTGAGGCCAAAGGGCATAAAAAGTCTCACTGGATTAGACCAGCCTCAGACAGACCACCCAGTAGGCAGGTGCAACTCTGTACTAGACTCAAGGACTTGCAGGATTATTCTGGGTCTGATTTAGAGATGAAATGAATCTTAAACTGACCTTGACATCAAATTAGTCTTCTCAGAACCCTAGACCAGGGATTTTGCAGGACTGCCCTGGACCACTCAGGTTTTGCTGAGACAAAACTAGATCCTCACTCAGACCAAAAACAATGATGCCTTCTCCACCTTGAGATGTCACATAATGGATCTACATTGTATGATCAATTTGAGAAAATATTATACTAGGGATATCATTTTGTTTCCCAAATTTTCCTGCCAAAGCAATACTTATATTTGGGGTCTCCTTTTAAATAATCAATCTCAATCTGGCTTATTCTATTGAATAGAAGGCATTGGCAAGGTTAGGTTCTAATGATATTGAAAACAGCTGTTAAGCAAACTGTCCTATACTACTGTTGTAAAGCATTCACCTTGATTAGCTTATTAATGCTTTCCTTTTATGGAAGTCCCCAAATGTTCATTCCTGTGGCAGAGCAGGGAAACTCCAAACCAAGCTGCAGCCCCACTGTTACTTACCAAAGTTGTAGCAGCAGCAGTAGCAGGAGAAAGGGCTAAGTTCTATATGTATGTGAGAGAGTGATTATTGCAATTGTAGGCTATAAAACACATACCACTTGTATTGTTCCTGAAGGAGGGACTCGATAACCCCTTTTACCAAGGGACTCTAAAGTAATCACACCCTTAAAACAAAAGAAGACAAATTGAGTACAAACCGATACATGTGAATATAAAAGACAGAAATCATAAATTGTGGATAATTATTAAAAGTTTAAAATTCCATTTGTATGGAAAAAACATTCAAATTGCAACAAGAGGTACTTTCTATGAGTATGAGTTAGTGAGGATTCCATTACAAAGAAATAATTTACTGTACTTTCTGGAGATGTTGCAATAAATAATATATAACACCAATGATACACTGCTTGGAAGTTCTATTATGAAAACACAAAAGTAAAAAGCTCCTTAACCAAAAACGAAAGAGAGAGTATAAAAATTTTTTTCAGGTATCATGAGGGGGCAATGAAAAAGCAAAACAATTTATTGGTTTTTGAAGCTGCATCTCTCCAGAAATAATCCATATATCATGTTGCACCTTAACAAGGTTTTATTAGGGTATTGATTTTTGTGGGAAGTCATTTACTTGTTAAGGAATCTAAGAATCCAAATTAATTCTAGATCAGAACACAAAGAATTGAAGGTCTGAGAGCTAAGATCTGAATTGAGGTTAAAGCTAATATTAAGGTCTCTTTGTTTAAAGAAGCTTAAAAGGTGATCACAGGAGTCATCTTTTACTCAGCTACTCAAAGAAAGGGCCTCAAACTAGCATAATCCAATCACTGTGAACTTGTTAGAAATGCAGAATTGCTGGCCTCTCTCCAGATCTACCCAAGCTAAAATTGATATTTGAACAAGATTCTCCAGAGGTATTATATGCACACTAAAGTTTGAGAAGCACTGATATTATGTGAAGTACTTTTTTCCAGAAAAGGATGCCAAAGTCCAAATAATGGGAAATAAATATAAATTTTTAAAAAGGGAAATTAAAATAGAATGTGTGAAAGCTTCTCAATAACCAGAATGGTCACATGGCTACATATGGCTATTGTGACACTTGATTCTCAGTTTTAAGAAGTGAATGCAGACTCACTTGTTTTAACTGGGCTAATATTTCTCTTTGCAATAGTCAGGTAGCTAAGTCGGACAAATAATCACATGGTTTACATACATTTCATCACTTTACAGTGTACATGCCAGCTTTATGTAAAAGTAAGTTATGAAACAGGACTGTCCCACCAAGCAACATCTTTTATGGGTTTGAACGTTAGACCACAGGTAGGAAGTAAATAGGAGTTGTAAAGTGTTGTTAAGTCGGTTCTGACTCATAGCGACCCTGTATAGGATTCCCACGGAGCGGCTGGTGGGTTTGAACTGCCGACATTGCAATTCAAACTGACCTTGTCGCTTAGCGCTCATCCTACTGCACCATACCCCAGGATTTGAAAAAAGGAGTAGACAATGGTAAACAGGGAGGTCAGATTTTCTCAAGTCCAAATTAATAGACCACGATACACCAGACTGTTAAATTAGTACAATAATGTTGGGAAATGTTGATGAGAATGGGTACTAGAAAGGTAAACACAGTCCTTGATAAATCTAATTTATCAAAAATTCATTTAAACAAAGAAAGATAAAATCAGCCACCTGCATCTCTCATCAAACCAGCGACAAAGTTGAACCATCTGTCTCTTACAATCTTGCTCTCCTTGTCGAGCGAGGTACTACATATGAGGAGGGTAGGGATGTTAACACTACATGAAAAATGGTACATAGTACTCCTCTTCTTCCTAACTCCGGATTGTTGTTGTTATTGTTGTTAAGTGCAGTCATGTTGTTCTGACTCATAGCAACCCTGTACAGGATTTCTAAGGAGCAGCTGATGAGCTGGAACCGCCAACCTTGCAGTTTAAACCGACTTTGCAGTCCAGTGCATTAACCTGCTGCTCCACAGTAAAATATTCCTAAGTAATTGCTACTTTCATCATCACATTACTATAGACAATGAATGCACATTACTAGTTTTTCTTCCACCCCAATCTCCTCACAAATAATATAAAAGCAAACCTGTCAGACAAAAATTTACAATCAGACCTATACTTGTTTCATGTAATACATACAATGTTAATAATTTTTAGAATATGATAATAACGAAATTTAAGAAGAAAAAACAGATCAAGAAAACCTGTGTGTTTAATGCAACACTTTACAACAACAACTTCTAAGCAATGTAAAGATCAGTAGCCTTGGCAAGTAGGGGTTTTTGGAAAAGTATTGGTGAACTATTTGGTGTGTTATTATTAAATTTACCAATCTTATTTATTCTTAAAATTTTAAAAAATTAGCTGGCATATCAGTATTTCTACCTATGAAAACGACTATAGTTAACACACAGAAGAAATACATATTTTTATTCTGGTATTTTAGGATAGAACGGTCAAAATCTTACCAAAAACTCAAATCATTGTAGAATAGGAGAATATGCAAAGCTACATGGGAAACTGAAAGAAGTCTATCTGAATTTGGTGAATTACACATGGCAGGAATTCATCCATGGTTTTGCCACCAGCACACCTGCTTTAGACTTTCCTATCCTGGCTTCAATATTCTTTATGCATAGACTTTACTCAATGTAGTAACCCGATCACTGTATTTTCCACTATCTGTTAAAAATCATTTGTATATACTTCCCAGAATGTTTTCAAGACAGTGACAAAATCTTTGTCTCTTAACTTGTTGTTAATATGCCAATTAATATCTAAGAGTAATGCTGTTTCAATTGATTAATTTTCAATTTAAAATCTTATTGAAATTACCCCTATCTTCCTAACACTCAAAATATGTGAGCTGATTTTCAGCCAATTTACCATTCTTTTTTTCTAGTTCATTCTAATGGGACTCTGTCCACTGGTGACACATTACAGTATATTGTTGTTGCTAAGTGCCGTTCTTTTTCCACTCTAATTACCATGTGCTAGTAAAATGTGTAAAAGAGGAGACTTCTTGATGCCATGATAAAGCAAAACATCTATATTGTAATACTGCAACCATCCTGATAAGAAGCACATTTATTCTGATACTGAGATTCTATCAATAGTTCTTCCCAATTTTTCAATTGTCAAAAATCAGTAGCTATTTTTTCAAAATGATATCCCCACGGAAAAAAATGTAAATGAGTAATAGGTTGTATATTCAGCAATTCAAACTCACGAGCCACTCCTCAGAAGCCCTATGCAGGCTGCAGGTTCGCTATGAGCTGGAACTGACTCTACGGCACTTAACAACAACCATGAAGGAGTGTGCTTCTGATTTTGATAATCACAAATGTTGTATAGCTTCATGTTTATGACCCACATGTATACAAATAATTGGAGAACAAAGTCTATGAATAAATGAGTAGACAGTACTATGTTGTTGCTTTTTAAATCAATGGGTCAAATACTAACTAGGGTCCTGATTAAAAGTTGCACCATTGAAATAAAGCCTCACTGATCTTTTTTGAGTTTAATTCAGGCTGTTTTCTCAATCACACAAAATTCCCTCTTCACAGTTTTTATTAACTAGCAACAAAAGGCATTGTTATTAACATCTCTGACAGCCTGAAAGGTAAGGGAAGAGGGCATTAACAGAGAGAGGTAGCAGTTGAAGCTGGGTTTAAAGCTAGGAAATCAAGTAACAAAACAACAGTCATTTGTATGTCACCAAGTAACATGAAAACCCAGGTCTGACCTCATATTTGACGCCATCATTGCACACCTTTTGCAGGCCTGTATTGCTAGCCACATCTTGGGTTATGCATTGGGCTGCTAACTGCAAGGTCAGCAGTTCGTGGGAGAAAAATGAAGCTTTGTGTTTCCGTAAATCTTTACAGCCTTGGAAGCCCTGCAGAGTTGCCACGAGTGGGAACTGAATCCACAGCATACAGCCAGCTAGCTAGCCATCTTACTATCCACTAAGACATTGGCATGATGTCAGAAATACGGGCAGTCCCTGACTTACAACATATATGATTTACGGGAAACCACACTTACGATGGTCATTTTTGCTTCTTTTGTGCATCTTAACTGTTAGTAATGTGTACTACATATATTACAGTGCATGCTTTGCTGGTGTTAGCCTTCTAAAGCTAACCTCCCCAAAACAAATAATGATCAGATTTATTAAGGTAACAAATAATAAAAGGCAGCAATAATGAAAACAAAGCAACAGCAACAACCATGAGGCATTTGACTTATGTCAGAACAGACTTACGATGGAGCCGTCAGAACTGAAGCTCATGGTAAGTTGAGGACTACCTGTATCAGGTATTCTACAGAACACTGGGACTACAACAAAGTGATGCAAAGACAGCTAAACAGGAGGAAGGCAGGTGGGAGGCGGCCACAGAAACCTTAGGCCACCAAATCCTCACTCAAATTCTAAGGGAAGATCACATGGGAAAGCAACTTTTGCAGGACAAGAATGCATAGTAAGGAATTGTGAATATGCACGAATTCAGGAAGATAAAGAATATCAGTTTAATAAATTTCACCTTTTTTTCTTTGTAATTACATGGAAAGAAGTAAAAATTTTCAGCACCTCTCTTAAATGCCACAAAAGGGTATATCTGTTGTTAAAGCCAACTCAGAAGGAAGTTGAGAGGTAATATTTTGGTATGTGAGTCTCTATTTAGCCTTCAATTTTCTTTTACAAAATGTTCTATACTTTTAAGCACTGCACTAAAGCAATACTAACTGTCTTAAAACATAAGTTGATTGATTTTGGCCGAAAAAGACAATCTGAAAGGTACTTGCCATATAAGGAGAGGGAGCATTATCATCAGAAACACTGTAGAATGACACTTCTACTGGAAGAGTCAAGTGTGTAGGGCAGAAAACACCACTTGCCCCCACCTCGGCAGTAAAACCATCAACAATGCCAAGCGGGTCTAAACGATAGTTCAAGACGGATTCCTGGAAGACAAAATATAATTTTTAATCTTTTACATCCTATGAAGTTAATGACCTCGCCTTACTATTCTAACCCACTCTAAATTCTCCTTAAACTTCACATCATTAGTGTGAATTTACATGTTTAATGTATGTCATTTCTATCTCCATAAGTAAAAAATATGCCCAGATGCACCAGGGATGATGTGCAATTTTTTTTCACCCATTGTAGTGTCTGTTCATGATCTGTACAAAGAAAGACTTGAAAGCTTGTTAACAGGTTAAACACAGATTTTCTATTAAAAGGTAAAGTCAGTAGGATTATGGTTTCATGGGACAATCCAGTCAATTGCCTTATATTGTTTGCAGAATTTTTGAAAAAATTCTTGTGCCCAGGGTCTTAAAAGTTTGCCAGTGCCATCTCAAATACAATTGGTCTCTATTTGCTAAGAGCAGCAGCAGCAGAATTCAACCCAAGAATCAGAGAAGGAACTGGACTGCACATCTAACTGCCTCCATGAACAACCGCCTCCTTTCCTTGCTATCATTACTGAATGTTTTAATCAAGGACTTAATAGATGAATCATGATCAAAAGAGGGGAAAGGCAGAACATAAATTCAATTTCCTATGGAATCTAGACTTACTGGACCCATTATGAGATTAGAGGAACCCGTGAATCTATTGCTCTGATGATCTTTAAATCTTGAACCAAAACTGTTCCCTGAAGTCATCTTTAAATCAAGTGGAAATTTAGCTCATTAAAAATGCTTACTGTGAGCTCTGTGCTCTTTTAAAGAACTATCTATATGAAACTGGATTGACAACAGAAACTTTTAAGCACAGCGAGAAGTTTAGGGGGCAGTGAATCTAAGTTAATGGAAGTGAAATAATTTGGAGAGAGATGGTGAGATGAATGACACACAAAAGGAAGATTTTAACCAATATAAAATATAAATTGTGCATGTAGAAATTGTTGAATGTGTATATGTTTTGCCATGTACCTATTTTAATAATAATAACAATAATAATAATAATAATAATAATAAAGACACGACTGATTTGATGGTACCTAACAAGGCCAGCCATTCCTAGGAAACCCTATACAGGGTTGCTATGAGCCGGAACCAACTTGAAGGAATTTAACAAGAAGTAAAAAAACTTGAAAGCACAGACATATAAACACAGAAGGGACTCTTGTTGTTGCTAAGTGTAGTCGAGTTGGTTCCGACCCATAGCAGCCCTGTATAGGGTTTCTGAAGAGCAGCTGGTGAGCTTGAACAGCTGACCTTGCAGTTCAAACAGCTTTACAGTCTGGCGTATTAACCCACAGCACCACACCAGGACTCCAGCCCCTTGTTAATCTGTACCCAAGCTCACTCAAGGAGATAACTACTTTTATAATTTAGTTATTCCAATTTTATCTTTCCAGGTATCAGAAATGTTTTCGAACTTTTCAAAAGTTATTTCATATACATACATTTACATATGCATTCACACACCATGAAATGAGACTACCAATCCTCTCATTCAGTAATTCATAGAAAAAGAACTCTGTTGAGTCCTCATGATTCTAAGATCACGTAGTCTACCTAGATCTGAAACGATGACGTATCAGCAATTTTAAAGTCTTAAAAGGTAGACCACAACCCCTGTGCGGCATCAACCTTTTAACTTTCTTCTGCCCTGAACTAGATCTAAAACTAGATCTAATCCAGATCCTGTTGGTTTTATCTCTAATTCATGCCATTACAACTTTCCCACTGAACGTATCTTTTCATTAGTCTTTCGATGTCAACAGTATCCTCTGTGTTGGCTGCTATTTTTTTTTTCTTTAATTAAAAAATAACTTCATAGCAGACATGTAAGGCCCACCCTACCGTTCCTGTCTCATTTCTCTCCACTTGTACGGATGTTCTATGCTCCAATTATAATTATTGCTTTCCACTGTCATGGTCTTTTATCACTTTTGCACATGTGTACTTGTACACGCTGTTACCTCTGTGCAGAATACCTTGCCACACTCTATCTATTCAACATCTTTAGTCATTAACAGCAATACAAAACTGGTGGGTTTGAACCAACAACCTGGCAGTTAGCAGGCTGCCAGCACCTAATCCCACAGAGCCACGGAGGCCCCTTTCATACCTACGAAATAGGCTAAAATTAAAGACTGACCAATACAAATGTTGTGGTGTTGTTAAGTGCCGAGTAAGTTTTGACTCATAGTGATCCCGTGTAGGGTTTCTGAGGAGCAGTGGTGGGTTTGAACTGCTGACCTTATCCAGTGCTGACCCTAAAGCATCATACCAGAAGTCCTGGTAAGGATGAAGGGTAACTAAAACTCTTAAATACAGCTAGAGGGAATTTTAAATGATACAACCACCTTGGAAAACTGTTTAGCAGTTGTTTTAAAAGTCAAACTCCAAGAGAAAGTTAAAGTTACATCCACACAAAAAAGTATACATAAATGTATATAAGCCATATTATTTGTAATAGCCAAAACCTAGAAACTATCCAAATGATTCAAATAAACAACCTAGGATATAGCCACACAATGACAACAAAAAGGAATAGCCTTGTTCATACACACTATGACATGGATTAATCTCATCCTAATAGTGTGTGAAAGAAGCCTGGCTCCCCATGAAAAACCGAGCAAAATACCCTGAGATGCCACTTAGGGCAAATCCTACAGAGTGCTAACTATTCTACAGTGACAGAAAGCATTGAGATTCCCTCCTATGGGAAAAAGAGTTTACCCATTTCCAATGGTTGTAGGTATTGGGCTAGACTGAACTGGCAGAAGAGAAGAATCACAGCATACATGAGAGCAATGGGCAAGAGTAAGTTTTTTGGAGTAGAAAATGCTAAATGACAGCAAGAAAAAGATAACAAGTAAGCAATAGAAATGAGATGAACAATCTTCTATTTGCGCATTAACTCTGGGTCAATGTATTTCCAGACTCCACCCAAAGTCCCACAAACAATGTCACAATTCATTCTCAACAGCATTACAGGAGTTAAGACTTTGTCCTGGTCCCTGAAGCCAGACCACCATGTTGGTTTAGTAATTCAAACTGCTCCTTGAAATAGATTTTTACTTTGGTCACACAGAGTCAAATTAATTAATTAAATAAAGTACAAACTGAAATTTATTGTAGAAAGCAACAAATTCACTATAAATTGTTGTCATGTGCTGTGGAGTTGGTTCCGACTCATAGCGACCCTGTACAGGGTTTCCAAGGCTGTACATCTTTACAGGAGCAGAAAGCCTCATCTTTCTCCCGTAGGACAGCTGGTACTGTTGAACTGCTAACCGTGAGATTCTCAGCCCGATTTGTAACCACTACACTACCAGAGCTCCTTTATAAATTGTTGTTGTTGTTGTTAAGTACTGTGGAGTCGGTTCCAACTCATAGTGACCCTGCATAGGGTTTCCGAGGCTGTAAATCTTTACGGGAGCAGAAAGCCTTATCTTTCTCCCACGGAACAGCTGGTAGTTTCGAACTGCCGACCTTGAAGTTAGCAGCCTGATTCGTAACCACTATGCTACCAGAGCTCCTTCCTTTATAAAAAGAATCCATGAAATAGATTGTGTCAGATCTTTCTGTATTTTTTCTTAAATTCACTTGAAAATGTATACATATTTGTACAAATAGAGTTCTCTGAGAATAAAAGCAAGGTTTTCATGTGTCTCATTATTTGCTTTTTATTATAATGCATGGTTTATATACTTTCTGGAACCTGACCCTCACAATAGCTTCTGAAAATTTATTTATTTAAGCCTCTGCAATTTTAAATAGATGGAAAGGAGGAATAGAGATTTCAACATATCTGAGCTTTGGAAGTGACATGGAAAGAGATCAACTTACCAAAAATTAATTTTTATTTATGCTAAATTTTTGAAAGGTAAGCTCAAAATTAAAATACTATTATAAAGAGAGCATATAATTAATAAATCAAACCACCGCTATTCAAAAACACAAATTTTAAATGATTTTCCCCATAAAATCTTACCACTTATTTATCTATACAGATTCATTTAGATTTACAGAGAACTTGAAACGATGGTATGGAAAACCATTTGATTTTGAAGATCATCCTACTTGATTATGTAAGGATGGTTAGTAGTATCACCATTCCTAGATCCTAAAACCAGTAATGCCTGGGAGAAAGATCTAGTCAAAAACGTATCCTCTGATTGTACCAAAGTCCTTTATCTTCTGAGATGTCACTGCCAATGATTATCCCAACTTTCCTTCTCATGAAAATAATAATCATAATGATGATGATAACAGTCCATTTATTAATATGCTTTACACACAAAATTATAGACATGAGTGACACCTATCTAGGTTAAGAAATTTCAACACTTAAAACAATTTTTAAACATATTACTTCATTCATGGGAACAATGAGTCTAATGCTCTAACAGACCATGTGAGCATCACTCTCCACAACCCTGAGACCAGAAGAACTAGATGGTACCTGGCTACCACTACCAATTGTTCTGACAGGGAGCACATTAGAAGGCCCAGGATAAAGTGGGAAAAAAATGTGGAACAAAACTCAAAGTCATTAAAAAAAAAAAAAAGACCAGGCTTAGTGGTCGGTCAACAGAGACTTGTGGAACCCTCAGTCACTGGAAGTGAACTCCCAAGGCTCAATTTTCAGTCAAACAAGAGATAGTTCTGTAAGGGAAACAGAACATTAGGGAGTACACATACCTTAGCATAATCAACCATTTGAAATCAAAGGGCAGTAGTTACCCAAGGACAAAGTTCAGAGAATCAGAAAAGGAGGAGGAATGGAAACGGAGGAAATGCGCTAAGTGGTGTTATATTGGGGGGAAGGCAACTAATGACATGCAACAAAATGTACCTGAGTTATTGAAAGAAAAGCGGATCCGATCCGTCTGTAAAACCTTCATAATAAAAAGTAAAAAGCACACAAGCAAGCACACAAATACATTACCTCAAAATTTCCTAGGAGACTTAGACTTGTTACAGGTGGAGCACTAGAACTCAGAAATGGTTTTTCATGAATACCTGGATCATCTTCAATGTTTAAACATGGTTGAGGGCTATTAAAAAAAACAAAATAGGAAAAGGACCCATTATTCAAAATGTGTGGTTTAACCACAGTATTACATTATTTCTGTACAAAGTTAAATGAGGAGAATTTGATTCATTTGAGTGATACTACCTAAAAATAAACAAAACCGTTAATGTAACCAAAATTTAAGATCTAAAAATTCCTAGTTTAAAATCATCTCTATGGTATAATGGTATATACTGGAGTCCTGGTGTGGCGCTGTGGGTTAATGCGCCAGACTGCAAAGCTGTTTGAACTGCAAGGTCGGCGGTTCAAGCTCACCAGAAATCCTGTACAAGGTTGGTATGGGTCAGAACCGACTCGACGGCACTTAACAATATCTGCTAAAAACATAAATTCCTATCATTTTAAAAGTGAAATCTAAACATATGAAATAGTGGTATTTACAAGAAATATAAGATAAATGCAGAATTTGATACCAATTTCCTTTTATTTTTACAGTAAAATTATATACCGAAAGCATATTCCTGCAACAATTTTAATCTTTAAAGTCAACTGTTCATTGTGAAAGACCAGATTTTGTGTCCCTGTCTCATACATGTATATGAAGGTTAAAATAAATACCTTCTAGATGACAAGCTTTTCAAATGCAGTAATGAAGAATCCAGATCAAAACAACCTGACTGTGTTTTTCTTTGAGGAACCTAAAGTCAAAATAATCATGGGAGAGATGATTAAAAAATGAAATATTTTGAAGAGGCAAAATGAAAGGTAAGAATTATTAAAAATAATGAAACTTGCCTCTGAACAATTTTCCTAAAATCATGTTCTTTAATACATACTGTTCTCTTTTATTAACTAATGTGAAAAAATTTAATTAATAAAAGTACTTTTATCATCATTTAAGGTTTTAAGAAGCAGACTTATTTTTTCCCTAACAAAATCATATGTGGTGCCCCAATACAGGTATGATTTTCACTTTATACACTTCTGCTGTACTTTTGGGCAAAGCTAAGAACGAAATAGAGGTGCTCACTCTTGTCCCACTGAAGCACTCCCCAAAACTCCAAGGAGTCACAGAAAGTAGTTTGAAAAATAGTACCCAGGATTTGTCAACCACTGTTGAATACATCATATTAAAAAAAAAACAACAACTATAATCTAACTCACAGTAGCTTACAAACAAAAGAACCCAAATGCAAATTCAAAGTAAAATCATATATACTATGTAACTTGGAAAGATTCTCACAACACTAAAGTACACATCATCATCTCCACTTTATAAATGAGAAAACAAACTTAGAGAGGTTGTGTTACTTGCATCAAGTCACACAGCTAGAAAGAAGTCACTATGACTCCAAATGCATGCTCTTAACCACCACATGCAGATCTAACCATTTGTAAATGTAATGTGTGTGGGAGATTCGTAAGTTTTTGAATAAGATGATTAAGTGTAGAGGCTCTAAGTCAAACAACCATGAATCTGGTATAAACCAGCTCCATTATCAAGATGCAAACCTATTTATATAAAACCCACTTGGCACCACGGAGTGCTGGTGTGCAGTGGGTTAAGGGTTGGGCTGGCTGCTAACTACAGGTCAGCGGTTCAAAACCACCAGTTGCTCCACAGGAGAAACATGAGGCTGTTGGCTACCATAAAGAGTTTCTGTCATAGAAACCCTAAGAAGCAGTTCTGCTCTGACTTACTGGGTTGTTATTGAGTCTGAATCAACTCAAGGAGAGCAGTGGGGTGACAGTATTTTCTTCACATTGGATTATCAATCCAAATGCAATAAACTTCCTTTTCATTGACTTTTTAGTCTTTTCTTATTTTATCAATTAAATGTGAAATGTGCTATTAAAAAACAAAGTTTTTTCCAACTAGAAATTGATTTTAAAGGTATCTTTGTTTCAACTAAAATATGAGTAAAATCATTTGCAAACATTTCAAATAAGTTTCTTCAAGTTCTAAGTATGAGATTAGAGAAAAGAGCACTTACAGGACTTGAGAGAAGAGGCAATCCAGTTTGAGGATGAAAGGCCCTAGTTGAAGTTCCATCCAAGGAATGAAAATTATGCTTTCGCCAGATATTTGACTGCTTCAGTGATATAGTCCTCTGCTAGGAAAACAATGGTATTTTAATTTAACGCTTAATTTAATACTCAAATACTTCTAGAACTTTACATTCATTCTTATACACCTTTGATTAGAGAAGTTAACGAGAGAAACAGACAAATTGTGCGTGTTTAAATTTTGTTCAGAAAACAATGTAATACTTTGAGTAAACTCAAATGATATAATAATGTCTCAAATGTGATTACTCTTTCTACATATTTACAGATATTCAGACTCTAGTATTATTTTGTATTAGTAGCTACTATTATTTTGATTTGTGACAAAAACAATAAATACATGTAGAAAAAAAATGTTTGCTATTCTAAAATACAAAAATATGTCAAGATACTTTAGACACAGAGAGGGAGAGGGGCTGTGTGCTGATGACTGGGGGGGTAGGCTTGCAGGGTATATCCTTTGGTTGGTTGATGATGCATGGAGGGGATTGTAACCATGGCAATGAAACGATATACGATAGGATGAGTGTAAGTCAAGATAAAGAGCCATTCACAGAAGATACAATTTGTGGAGGTGTGATACAGAAAAATAAAAAACATTGTGAATTTAAAATATACAAAATGCAATCACAGCACTCTATTTTTTTAGTGATATAGGAAATTGGCTAATTCTTCAGAATTTGGGTGAGTTTATAACCAAAGGTCAGAAGTTCATAAACACATATGAATAAGAATTCGAAAAGATTAACTTGGGTTCTAGCTCCACCATTTTCTAGTTCTGTGACCTTGGGCAAGTTAATTGACCTCTCTAGGCCTCAGTTGTAACATGAGATTAATAAAATCTCCCACAGTAGTGAGAGGATTAAGTGAACTAACACGTAAAACATTCAGAAGAGTGTATGGGCACAGAGTAAATGCGCTATCCTTCATTGTTATCTAAAACAAGATCATGAAAAAGTGAGTCTTAGTTGCTTGAAACATATCATGGCTAGATTTAGGACTTTCTATTCAGTTCCAGAAAGGATCATGAAAACTGAGTATTTTTAAGTCCAGGGTAGGGTTATGTGGCAATTACAATTTTAGGAATTGGAAATTATCACTAAAAATAAAATTAGAAACATGGCACAATTTAAATCACTAATGTCCAGCTAAACCATGTGATTAAAGTAAGACGAACCAAGGTAATTCAGAACTGATCAAAGCAGCTGAGAACTAGCTTATTATCAAATTCAGATACAAATTTGAGATACAGCTTGGGGGAATTTATGGAAATTTAAACCTAATAATCATTTTTGGAAGTTAAAAACTAGTTTGGTCAGATGTCAGCTAAAATAAAACTTATATATTTTGTGCTGTTGTTGTTGTTGTTAAGTGCCATCGAGTCAGTTCCGACCCATAGTGACCCTGTATAGGGTTTCTTAGGAGCGTCTGGCAAGCTTGAACCACTGACCTTGTGGTTCAAATCAACTTTGCAGTCCAGCGTATTAACAACCCACAGTGCCATACCAGGACTTCATGTATTAAAAGTTTATAAACTATTTTCAAACCTATTATTTGATTATCACAATATTGTGAGACAGACAAAGGGGTTATTAAAAGAGACTGAGATTATTAAAAGTTACATGACTTATTCAATGTCATTCATGGACTACTCTATGAAATCAAGACTGGAACCTGAGAAACAGCCCAGTGATTTCCCTATAGATAGGTATTCCTATCTTCATTGGTTGATCAATGGCATAGTACAAAGGGTATACTATTTGAACAAGGCAAGAGCTACTTAATAATATACTACAGTAAGTAGTATATTAAGCTAATTACAGTTTCGTTTCTCATTCCTATTGAGTTTCTAGCAATTGTTCATTATTGTTATACAAAAAAGAGCAACATTAAGAATGAAAACTGAAGAATGTGATAGTCTATATTCTACTCCTGATAACTATAAGGTAGTAGAAAGAATCTTGGGAGTCCTGGTGTCGTGCTGCAGGATAAGCACTGGACTGCTAACTAAAAGGTTGGTGATTTAGGCACTGTAGGGTAAGTACAGGACTGCTAACCACAATGGTGACAGTTCAAACCCACCAGCTACTCCTTGGAAGTCCTATACAGAAGTCGCTATGAGTCGGAACTGACTTGATGTCACTTACCACCAACAATCCGCTCCTGAGGAACTCTATACAGTGTTGCTATGAGTTGGAAATTAACCTGATGGCACAGTAACAAGAATCTTGGGTTACGAGTTAAAAGACCTGGATGTATGTGCCAGTTTAATCATTAAGGACTTATACAGCTTGGTGTGCCAGCAGATCTCTGAGTGCCACTTTCCCCGTGGCAACTATCCTAGCTATTCTACTGGAAAGTATCAAATACTCTGTAATGTGAAATGTACCACTGTTGTGAAGTGCTGTCGGGTCAGTTCTAACTCATAGCGACCCTGTATAGGGTTTTCGAGTTGCTATTCAAACTCATGAGTTTGAACTGGCCAACCTTGCAATTTAAACTGATCTTACCTTACCAGTGCTTAACCTAAAGCACTACATGAAGATGCCATACGTATTATTAAGAATATGAAATTCTTAGTCTATGTATTATTTTATCTACTGTCTGTAACATGGGCTGCCCTAATAAAGAACCAATTCAACAGCAACTAAAAACAAATATAACATTTACTCTCCTGACTCCACAGGCCAAACATTAAAAAGCCTAGGTGAAAAAAATCTAAAACCAAACAGACTTAAAACATGTAAATAGTAGGTGTAATGGATGATTAAAATATCAATGCCAAATTCCCAACCTTAATACTATTGAATGATTTCGTCTTGACTCATAGTGACCCTAGATAGGACAAGGCAGAACTGCTCCTTGGGGTTCCCAAGGTTACAAATCTTTACAGAAGCAGACGGTCACATCTTTTGCCCACGAGGTACTAGTGAGTTTCTTCCACTATAGTCTCATTAGCAGTCTAATGCTTAATCCACGGCACCACCAGGGATCCTTGCCTCTATATTGTTGTTGTTAAGTGCCATCAAGTTGTAGTAGTTTAAAAAAAAAAGACAAAAACAAAAACAAAAAAACCCACATGTAAGCCTCCTTTCTTATATTTATCTAGCATTTGCGTTTAAATGAATGGGTTATTGACATGGAGGTTAGCAATAGTTATGTAGACTTATTTTAATAAACACAGACTATGTATGTGTTCTATTGATTAAGGGCACCTTGGACTTTCATTAATTAGATCTCTTGAGAACACAAAAATTCAAACCATAACCAATGACTGGAAATTACACTTGAAAAGAAATCCTGTTACGTACCAGTGTCTCTGGATTTTTCAGTCGTTCACATGTAGACAAGCAGTCTTTTACAGCCTTTCTCCGAGAACAGTTTAGAGCTTTTTCATCAGTTGTGTCTTCATTCTTATACTGTTCATTTTTTAACTGGTCTGGCTTTTTGCACTTGAAACCTTCAGTATCTTTATTACAATAATTTTCTATACTACTAAGTTGAGCATTTTTCTCACACGTCTTAGGCCTTTTTGAGTCTTTATTTGAACACTTCTTTTCCTGTTTGTGCAGAAATTCAGACATTTCCAACATAGTGACTTTTATTTTACAGTCAATTTGATGAGTGTTAAAAGCTTCTGGATCACAATTTTCCTTTCTTATCAGTTTTTCCTTGTATTTATTCATGCAAAGCTGTTTATCAATACTGTTGTCATTTGAATACTGTTTATCAATTCCATTGCTAATGTCTTGCTCCTTGAATTGATACCCAGAAAGTGTATTTTCCAATCTATTTGTCAAATCTAAGTTATTTTCTTTACAGGGAGACAAATTTGAGGAAGTCAATAAATTAGTAGCTTTGTTCTGTGTCTCCTGAAATGTACTTTGGATGATTTCACCAGAATTTTCCTGGTACTGATTTCTTCTTATTTGAGGTTTCAAAGAACACGTCATCTTACTGCATTTAAGAGAACGAAAAGATTGATCAGGTATTATGTTTTTTCCTTCATTGCTGTCTTCTAACAAGGAAAATTTTGGACAGGAAATGGAAACTGAGACATCATCATCCTTGGTTTTTTTCAACAAATTTTTGTCTTCATAGGAACTTCTAAACACTTTAGACGGAACCAATCTGGAGTCGTGCATTTTGAACGACTGTTGAGGGATATGCGGAACTGTGGGATCAATGTGTTCCAGGTGTTGCGCGATCCTCGCGATCACATCTTGGCGCTCATGGAGCAAGGAGCCTATCAAAGGGTTAGTCTCACCTATGGGCTGACGAGAATAAAGACCATTAGAAATACCAGTTTCGCTTCGAGGGGTTTCTGGCTTTACTCGCATTTTCCCCTCATTGGTGTCTTCTGGTGAGGTAAACTCTGGATTACCAAAAGAAATGGAGAAAGTTTCCTTACACTTCTTCACACTTTCATTTTCTGGTGAAACTCGGAAAAATTTTGAATTAAGTGAACTAGACTCTGGTGTATTAAATGGAGGTCCAGGAACACGTGAAGTGCTTGGATCACAATGTATCAAATGCTGAGCAATTCTTGCAATTCTTGCAATAACATCCTGTTGCTCCTGAATTAAAGAGCCTATTAAGGGATTAGTCTCACCAACTGACTGCCAGGAATTCTGGTGACTAGAAACACTGGGGTCAGTCAGTGAAAAGGATTTTAAAGTTCTCACTGATGTCTCCTGTGATTTTCCGTCTTCCATACTACTGAAGCCCAGAAGATTGGCTTGGGATGCTCCATAGTCGGCTTTACTGCCAGTGCCTGGGTAGAGTTTGACATTTTTGACAGTTGTGGTATATTCTGGAGTTGTGCAATGTTTTGTATGCAGTACACTTTCAGGTGCCATGGTCCAAGTGTGTTTGCTGCACAGACGCTGTGAACTGTTTGTACATTGTTCTACTTCATTAGAATTGCGGTGCTGATGGGTCTGAAGTTCATGTTCTTGAATTCTGTTCTCATAAAGGCCAATATTAGTGTGAATACTACAGGTGAGAACTGGGTAATTAGACTGTCTGGGCAAGGACTGGACGCTGACTTTCAAGGCCACATTATGAGAAACATTGGGAACAGGAAACACATGTTCAATTGGTGTCTGGGAAAAATTCCACTGTAGGTCGACATCAGCAGCACTGATTCTGGAATCAGACAAAAATACTGAATCAATGGATTATAAAAGTTATATCCTTAATTTAAAGTAGGCATATACGTATAATACTAGATTGTTTGCATTAATTTTCACAGCGGCTTTACTAAGCCATATTAACCAAGCATGTCATTCTGATAAAATCACAATGTTGTTGTTGTTGAGTGCTGTCAAGTTGGTTCTGATCTACAGCGACCCTATATAGGGTTTCCGAGGAGCAGCTGTTGAGCTTGAACCACTGACCTTGCAGTTCAAACCGGCTTTGCAGTCCTGCACATTAACCTACAGCGCCACGCCAGGACTCCAAAATGACACTAAGGGATATAAGCAGCTCATGGATGGAATAAAAATGATCTTTTTAAGAACACACCAGGTCATTTAAACATTAAACGCGTAAGAATATAATTAAAATTATTTGTCAAAACATGAAAAAAATATGGGATTTTGTATTTACTATTAAATAGATTTGGCTAATTCTATTGTGCAAAAAGACTAAGAGATATTCTCCATCTCTTGGCCACCTGCCTAAAGAGACAATTACACAGTTGTTCAGCAGCCTGTATATTTGTACTTTTCAAGATGCCAAAAATCTAGGAAGCCTATCATTATAGTAAGCCTTGATCAGTAACCCAGCAAGTTTCCCACTTTATAATGGTACTACTAATTCCATTCTTGGCTCTCTAAAATTAAGTTTTCTGAAAACTCGTTTCCAAATTTAACTTCACAAGCAACATTTATATTGATTCTCACCTAAATTTCTTGAACCTGTTTTGAGAAAAACCATACTAAGAAGTTTTATCTGCTTTTTCTTAGATGTGAGGAAAATAAACCACTTAAAAAGATATCATTCAGTAGTCAGCCAATGTGGCTGAACATACACTGTTCTTTTTTGCCCTCGACATACCTGTAAAGAATATTCCGTGGAATAGCACCATGGGAAACACTCAGCCAAGCACTTAACTGAGAAAAAAACACAAAGGAGCGGACAGCCAGTAGAAGAGTCTTCTCTTCAATAAAACGATCTCCATTCCTAAAGGAAGCCAGAGAAAATAGTATAAATGATAGCAAGAACCAAGATACTGAATTTTAGGTATACAGAAGCTGAACTAAACATACCACTTAGGGCATGTGCTTTCAAGACCAACGGCACTTAAAGTCACATGAACTAAAGTCACATGAACATTAAGTATCTAGAAGGTGGCTTTATTACAAAAATACAGAGGGACTCAAACACATCATCATGAAATAATGCATAGAAAATAATGGGAAACCAGATTGATCAAGAACCACCTAAATTAACTTCTATAACTAACTTACTGTCTAGGAACTGGCTCCAAGATCCATCTTTCCAATAATAACGCGTCTTGCTTCATTGCAGGATCATTTAGGTCAATCCCTTCTGTGGTGGGCCCATCGTCACTGTAGCAGCAGTCTGGAAGCAGTATCACTTCCACCATGATTGGAAGGCTGTTCTTCCACAATAAAGCAACCTCAGACCTGGTTCGTCTGGCTTGGCGACACTTAGAGACAAGGAATAAATGCAAGATTTCACAATAGTACACTCAAATTTATATCTCAGTTTGAAAATTTAATTGTAAAGCAAGTGTCTGTATGAGAAATGAGTCATCTACTACAGGGCTCTGCTCTGGCATGGCTATTTAGGTTCCGTCAATAAACAGTAGATTAACACTTGTAAGCTCTAGAGTGCAGAGATTACTAATGAACAAGTGATGACAGGAATTTTCCTGAGGAGTGTATCTTTGCACTATTTTGTGAGGGGGAAAAAAAAAGTTGCTATAAACAATGTCTGATAGGCTTCTGAGGTGGCTCAATCAACCTTGCCTTGTTCATTAATCTGTATCACTGATGAAAGAATGATTCTAAGTCTGAAGACCAAAATATTAAAAACTCATTCTCATTAGGACTCCTGGTAAGGTGCTGTAGGATCAGCGCTGAATTACAAATCACAAGGCTGGCGGTTCCACACACCAGCTGCTCCTTGGAACCCCTATACAGATTCGCTATGAGTTGGAACCAACTCAGTGGTATTTAACAACATTCTCACTGAACACTCCAAATAGACAAGGTTTTAACGTTTACATTTGAGGGGGGAAATGTACATTTAAAAGGATTATATTTAACATTTATGAAAATATTGCGTTGATTAAGGCATAGTTACACCACTGTTCATTTTAATTGCTGTCAACAAGTTGTACACCTGTAAAAAGCTGAGGTGGCAAATGCTGTGTGGTGGATATATTTAAAACAGCAATAGAAAAAGAGCAGCTGCAGAGGCTGATTATGGGAAACCAAAAACCTCATGAGATTTGGTTTTGTGGTTTGAAGGTTTGGGTTTAGAGTCAGTTTCATGGGCTATCCCGTTTGTTGACCTAAGAACAAGTTTAGTACTTCTGTTCTGCTTCCTAGTTTGATCTGTAATGCCTGCAAGCAACCATCCACGGCACAAGAATTGGTCTCCATTTGCCTGGAACAACAGAACGAAAAGAAAGCGGAACAGAAGAAAGACATGGATGTGAAGCTAACTGCCTCCATGAACAACTGCATCCTTTGCCACGAGATCAGAAGAACTGGATGGTGTCTGTCTACTGTACTGAATAGTTTGGTCAAAGAAGTCTACAGAAGAATCCTAATCAGAAGGGGAAAACTACAAAACAAATTTCAAATTTTTATGGGTTTAGATTTCCTAGAAACCTGAAGTTTGGATGAACTTCTAAAACTACTGTCCTGAGAAAATCCTTTAAATCTTAAACTAAAAATTACCCCCTGAAGTCTTCTTAAACTAAATAGTAGTTTAGCTTAACGAGTGGAAAAAGGAGATCTGTCTTGAGTATCATGTGCTCTTTAAGAAATGTCTATGTGTGATCAAATTGACAACAGAAATAAATTCAAACTATGACACAGGAATCTTAGGAGGCAGTAAATTTATGATAATGGGGCAGAAATAACTCTGAAAAGGAGTTTGAGGATGGTTAGAAAACTCGAAGAATGTAATTAATGTCACTATGCAGTACATAAAAAACCATAGATATCAATGTATAATGAAATCAACTACAAAGCAAAAAGAAGGACTAGCATAGAACTTC